AGAGAATAACCCATCTCAGAATCTAGTATTTTGTACTCAACGCAGTTTAGTTGCAACATATCATTATTTCTAAATAAGGACTCGTATACAAATTTTATAAAATAAAAAGTATATTAATATAGCTTTTGACGCGAAAGTCTGTTGAATAAAGTTGTTAATTATTTTGAAATAATTCGAGGGAAAAGTTCTTGTAATTGCTTTATCCTTTTCATCTAGACCCGTCGAGGCTAATTAAAACGTTACTACAAGTATCAAGGTAATTAACCAAGCTACACATTTTCTATGTAGCGTTACTATACTCAGTGTAATAAATTTAAATTTCTTAATTAATATAATATAACTTTATTCATTTATTTAAGTATTTCGTAAACTGATGGAGTAAATTAATTAAATACGCAGACCTTGGAGAGCTTACAATAAATCTTAAAGCTCCGACAAGAAAGGGCAAAGCATAGTTTTATTTTTCTACTAAAATGTAGGAGTTACCTACTTCTGAAATGATCACGATCAATTATTATCATTATTATATATACTTTAATGAACACCAAAAAACATAAAAGGAAATGTTACAGAACTATAAACTTACGAGGTATAAACAATAAGGCGGTCTTATCGCTAAGGAGCGATCTCTTCCAGACAACCTTGTGGTTAAAAATATTTTAGTTTGAACAGCGGTAGGCGGTGTAAATGATAAACTTACATACTAACATTTAAATAAACTAAACGAATATGTTGTATTATCAACTTGTTGGTATGAAAGTTCTTATAGATTTAAGTTATTTTCAAGGAACACAAGAATGCTTATTTGACAACTACTTGCCTTCACGATGATTGATCAGCCACTTACCTGGAAAAATAAATTAAAGTTTTTACTAAGCGTACTTGCAGGATATCAATGAAAAACAATATTATTTTTATTATTATTTCGAAAATATGCAGGTTTCCTCACGATGTTTTCCTTCACCGCAGAGCACGTGATAAGTCAGCACTTAAAATTAACAATCCCATTGGCCGGCACCGGGGATCGAACTCAGATGGCTCGAATGTATTGAACTAAAGGTACTGAGCTATCACAGCTCTACTGGATAAGCACAGACAACAAGTCCATATTTTTATTAACGAAGATCAAGACCGACTTCAAATATCTCGCTCTGTATTTATTTTATAATTGATTTTCGGGATTTCCCTAACTATCTCCGGAGCCCAAGATCCAATACCAGTGAAATTACCCACCAGCTTTCAAACAAATAATCATCAAAAACGGTTCACTTAGGCGACAGTTCTAGTTCTAACAAACATAAAATACAGTCGAATCGAGATTGAACCTCCTACCTTTTTCGAGTCGTTTGAAAATACAACAAATGAGAAAAGCAGACGCGATTCACACAAAACCCAACGGGGCGCGGTGAGCTTCCGACACTCGTTTGTTAAGCTTCTATTCAGAGAATTCGCGAGGCACGTGTACTTGCCGCGTAAAAGTGCCCGGGAACCGAACGCTTTGCACAATTCACGTGCATACAATATATAAAAAAACCGCTCAAGTGCGAGTCGAACTCGTACGTCCGGGGTTCCGTAGATACCGCCATAATAAAATTGATCCTTCGACCTATAGGGTATTTCCGGTTGACCTAGCATCCTTATTGCTAAGATAGCAATTTCTTTCAGGCAACCTTGTTTGTTTGCAAATGTTTTGTTTTTATATTGAAAAAAAATCGTCTACTTTCCAATTCCTCGCGCTGTCAATTAAGTTAATCGATTAGGAATTGGATAAAACTGTGTGTTTTCAGGAGTTTATCGCGTTCATTTTAGCTTTTAAAATTCCGAGTGTTCCACAACGTTTTGGTGTTTGACTTCCACTCGAAAATACGCCAAATTTTTATGGAAAAACTCGCACTGGGAATCTCGTGAAGTTTTGAAATGAACTATGCTTTGTATAAAAGCGCCATGTGTTTCAGCAGTTGTTATTGGCGTCGTGGAAAATTCAACACAACACTTTGATTTTATAAATATTTCTGGAGATATTTTTAAACAAGGTTATCTAAATTAAGGAAACCGTGGTGTGTGGGTTAGTAGGTAATTCATGAACATACTTAAAAAATATTCTGTTTTATTAGGAATTGCTACACTTAAATCCAGCTACTAGAAAAATATGTTCAAAAAAAGTTAAAGCTATGTTCGTCACACAATATTTTTTTAGTAGTGGATATGTCACATTCACCATCAATTAAGTAGGTACTAAGTTGGATAACAAATAGCTGAAATGTCTTTTATTCTTTGTTACACTGGACACAGTAGACATTAAATTGCTATTAATTCAACGGAAGTTACCTAGGATTGACAGATTCAATCTATAAATTCAATATGTTAGGCATGAGAAGTACAGATTATCCACAAAATCTAACATGACAGGTGAGATACAAATGTAAAAATCAACTCAAATTTTGTAATTTATAGATTTTTCATTAATAGATTGAATGAAATCTAAAATAAGTAAACAGTTACAGTAAGATACTTATTCATAAACTGTATTAAGTAATTATATCCGGACTTCTCACAACAATGTTTACCTCTGAATGGTAAATGTCTCAGCCTTCAAAGCGGAGGCGTTGTCGATTTATAAACTGAACCGAGCGTAACTCGGCTCTGTAATTACTGTGTAGCCGGTTAACTGCGTAACTTAGTCATTGCGCGTAGGTCGCTTCTCAGATTACAACTAAATTCGCCAATGTTTACACTGGTAAGCTTAAATTTACACCAAACTTTGACTTCGTCTTTGTTTAAAGGCTTTGCTGTTTTAAATTATGTACTTTACGTGTTTTAATTAATTCCGAATCGTGTAAAATTCTTAATAGACATACAATTTGACTTTATTTGTAAGAATAAATAAAACCAAATGGTAGTCACCTTAATATGGAGACAACAAACTGAGAGAAAAAACAACTATATGGTTTCTTAGTAAGAAGTTTTTAGATAAGAAGTAACATTAGACAATGTTACAAATAATAGATTCGGAGAAGATAAAAATAAGAAAATATAAAAGAGCGCTCTTAATAATTTCTTATGGTTTTTTTAAACATTAACTCTGTTAAAAAAACTTGATTAAACTATAAACTTTATTTGATTAAATTATAAACATTAGGTGACCAGCATGCCCGTTTGCCTCCTTGTCCCATAAACGGGCGGTTTACCTGATGTTTAAAGGGAGCGCCAGTCACGCCAAGAAGAAGAAGATGAAACGTTTATTCACGGTCTAAAAACAAAGGAATACATACAAAACTTAAAAATAATAAAGCAACTACACAGAAACTTAAAATAAATGTAAACATTAAAAAAAAAACAAACAAAATAACAACAGTAAGTGACGGTCTGTGTAGCAGCATAAGACCGTGAAACGGACGGGACTCGGTAAAAGTCGAGATACAGTAACTAGTTCTGATCCCGACACCGGTTTTCAATCACCAGACAAATTACGAATGTGTAATATATGTTATCGACACCAAATCTATGTTGGTCGGAGGGATTTTCTCAGGCTCACTAGGCACTTAGGATACACTACATAGATCACAATATTGTGTCAAAAATCAAAGATGCTCTTTATAGTACATTAGCTGCTGACCGCGACTACGCCTGCAGAATGCCTGCCTAGATTCGGCTGAAGGCGTAACATTCAGACAGATATACGTAAAATATGTATATAAATTATAGCCTATGTCTTATTAAGATGTATAAGCTATATTATTGTAGAGTTTCATTAAAATCCATTCAGTAGTATTTGCGTGAATTAGTTACAAACATCCATCCATACATACAAACTTTCGCCTTTATAATATTAGTAAGATTCATAACAAAATTTATTTATTATGATAAGTGGTAAACATATCCGCCGCCCATGGACATTTGCAACACCAGCTGCAGACTCGTTGCCACCTTTTATTAAAGTGCATCCCGGTTACCACACTCACCAAACGGAAGAAGAATTGTAACGCTTCCACTTCATACCGGTCTTCTGTGAGTTCGTGGTACTTCCCCGGACGGAATCGCCAATTCGTGCAAAGCGAAGACCGTTACATGGCCCTAAAACAGTACCAGTGGCAAATGTTTAATGAACACACAAGCTTGTTACCCGTTGAGGCAGGCGGGGATCGCTGATCTGCCCCTTTCGCAAACCTCTGACCTATTCCACCTCATTCAAAACGCTTACAATACGCGTCCGATGAGAGAATCTATTTACTCCACCCGTCTTTGCTATATCAATATGCAAAATACAATCATGTTTTGCTTTAGATGACATCCGCTGTGATGATTGTTGTGTGTTATAATTCAAACGACCTACTGAAATCCACGTCCCGAATCGATGATTTCATCTTTGCAAACAGAATCTTATTCTATTGTTTTCAATTTACAAACAATTAGGCGTAGTGCGACCACTTAAACTGCAAACATAATAAATATGAATGCAGCAATTCATTTTTAAATAATAAGATTTTTATTTTTATCTTTTTATTTTAAAAAAGTACGAAAAATGGACAAAATAAAATGTTGTAATTAAATACCTTTTATGAAAATTATAGTGTCCGCTTATTATACCAAACTAACTACAAATACGTCTTTAAAATTTAATGTATTTACGTTAAACAGACTGGCATGATCAGGCAAGTATAGTGTCTTCAGAGAACAGGCTAAGAGGGCCAGGCTAAATGTAAAATGTAAATACATATCATCCAGTAAGTGAGATATCTGGTGTTATTATACTATTGAGATGTTTCTTTGAAAGCTCCGGTGATGAACCAACAACCTCATTTCAATGTGTTGTTAAATTATCGAACATTCATTTACCCTTTAGCGTCGTTCACTATTAAAAGTTGAAAATTGCAAAAGTCCATAGTCACAGTGCTCTCCACAGACGGTAATAATGAGAAGGTTACGCGGATCCCTGAAGTTTCCGAGGCCTTTGTCGCGTATCGGTCTTCGTGGAGGACGTCTCTCTAATATGTGCCACGATGTATTTAGGCACAGCAACTTTACTGTACTTTGCAGCCTTGCTGAGTCCGATCGTCGGGGATAGCGATGTTAGTGGTAAGTTAGTTGTAATTTCCTATATCGAAGTGCCAATTTGCATGTTATATTTCCCTTACTCATTGAATTAAAACATACCGAAACTTTTCGTCTCAAAGTCGAAGTTTCTTTGTTTATTTTAAGCTCTTTAAGAAATTATTTTAAGGTCTTTAAGATATTGAATGTCAAAAAACTACCACGGGTTCTCTAAACAAGACAGACTGTTCACAGAAGAGGCGGTAAGAAACACTGCTGTTTTGTTATCATATTTCTTTAGTTATATAAGTATACAAAATTATTTAAGTATAAAATCGCCAGCAGCCTGAGGATTTGCAGGTGCAGAGCAAGAATCATTTCCACTCATCCTCAATGTATTACGACATAGTAATATAATAGGCCCTTTCCATTAAGGTAGCTTTTACCAAATGTTTGAAAATTGTGTACAGTAAGTTGTTTATGGTTTTTTTTAATGTGAAAAGTTGCCAAACGAGCAGACGGTTCACCTGATGCTACCGCCGCGAATATCGCTGCTCATGGACATCTGCTACACACGAGAGTTTGCAGATGCGTTGACAACCTTTTTGGAAATTAGGCTCCGGCCACCTCACTCACCAGACGAAACGCGAAAGTATTATACTTCCACTTTACGCCGGTCTTCTTTGAGGTCGTGGTACTTACCCGGACGAGCCTGCCCATTCGTGCAACAGCCGAGGCTGCTGCGTAGCCCTACCACCGTAATGGATGTCATCTATAATTACGAAAGAGAACTAGGCACTCGCTATTTCACAAACAATTATAAAATACTTATGCGAGGGTAATTTTTAAATAGGCCTTCCCCGAGTAAATTGACGCGTTCAAAAGTTTAACTGGCATATATATATTATCATACTTTATAAAATTATTCAAGTAAATCCAAGTACAAAACATTGTACATATGAGCAATTATGTAGGCTCATATTGTCCAGATAGGAACAAAGTATGTAATTAAAAAATCTACGGCGGCCCGGCTTAATTAAGACATTAGAATGCAAAATATATCAGTCTCGACCGTGTGATGAATGCTGTAATGTTCTAAATGTCTTCGCGTGAGGAATTAAAAAATTATATTTTGAGCATCCTTGCGTAGCTTTACCTGAATATTCCAACACCTTTGTTTACCTTTATCAGATAGTATTTTCAACCGAATTCAAAAAAGGAGGAGTTTTGTACTTTTTAGGAGGACTATATTTTTTTTAATGTTTGTAACCCGATTTTGATGATTCTTTTTTTTTTTAAAGCTGGCGATTCCCATGTGGTCCAATATTAATTTCATTGGTTTTGGATCTCGGGATCCGGAGATACTTACGGAACTCCTGGAAATCGATTATAAAATGAATACAGAACGAGATGTTTAAAGTCGGTTTCGTTTTTTGCATTTAGTCTTTACCTAACCGTAGCTGATGACTCCGTGGCGAAATTGTCAAGGCTTCGACGGCCATGGGTCGTGGGCTCGATTCCCACACGAGACAATTTTGTGACCCACATATAATTTCGGATCTGGGTGTTTGTCCACGTGAAATTTATGTTTGTTTGTTTTTTTTTTTTTGATTTTTGAAGAGAAGACTACTATAGATCTTCTAGGCCACAGTGGTAATATGGACTTACTACCCCACTCCTTCCACACAAAGTAAAAAGACACTATACTGTTATTAGGTGTTACAGCAATCGTACCGCAAAATTCAGTGGTGAGACAACCTTACCTTCGTCTCTATTGAAGGAATCGGTAATCTAAATCAGATTAATTACATTACGGAATAATATTATCAGTGACAGTGTATTGGTGCGTGGAACTTCGAATTTAAAGTATCAGGTGCTAATTCTAATTGTTTTGCGAAATTATTATTTGGTGTTTAATTTCTGTACGCGATGTGCGGATGATTCATACCTCGCCACGCTAGGGTTTAAATAAGCTCGGGACAACGTTGTGTCTCTGTGTATTAATGGTAAATGATCTAATAATTCAATCCGTGCAAGTAATATTAACAATAATTCGAATGTACAAAATCGTACCCATCATCCTTACTTAACCGTTGAGACCACTTTTGAGTACTGTTTGGTGACTGCAGCGTTCCGACGAGTAAATTCGACCGCTCAAGTGAGGTCGAAATAATAAGGTGTTTTCATTAACGTCGAGCGTTCGCAGCTAAACGGTCAGTCGTAAATCAATTTGTGGGAATGGAAATCATGTACGGCGCTCGCAAAGCGGCGCTGATATCAACGCTCCAATTACCGCAGATAAAAGTATTCCAGATGTTTCTACAATGGGATACAGGCACGTGCCCTAGTGTTGGGTTTGAGTTTGATTAACGGTGGTAGGGCCACGCAGCAGCCTCGGCTGTTGCACGAATGGGCAGGCCCGTCCGGGTAAGTACCACGACCTCACAGGAGACCAGCGTAGAGTGGAAGTATGACAAATACTTCCGCGTTTCGTCTGGTGAGTGAGGTAGCCGGAGCCCAATTTTCAGGAGGTTGTCAACGCATCTATCTGTAACCCTCGGGTGAGGCAGATGTCCATGGGCGGCGGTATTCACTTAACATCGGGTGAACCGTCTGCTCGTTTGACAACTTTTTTCATAAAAAAAAAAAAGTCAAACGAGAAATCGTAACAAGCAAACATAGCGGCCCAAGATCACCGCTTATAAGAACTATTTAGCACATACATAATTGGGCATAGAGCCGTGATAGCTCAGTGTCCAAGCCCTCGGTTTAATTCAATATACTCGAGCAAGCTGAGTTCATATACCGGTGCCGGCACCAATGAAATCGTTAATTTTAGGTAAAGTTTTTTTTTACAACCGGCTCCTTGGGAACAAACACCTGAATTCGAAACAATTTTCTGTGGATCAAATAATTGTCCCATGTGGGATTCGAGCACACGACAACTATTAACAACTACGCCACCATGCTTAATTTGTATCGGAGAAATTAAGACGACCTCTACAATGTAAGGAAGAGTTACAAAATGTTAGGGAAATATTTACTTACAGATTTTACTTACAAAATTAAAGAAGAACTAGTAAATTCTGATAAGATACAATAAGTATGTTTATATGTATATACAATGCCTTCCGGTTCATCTCTAATAGGTCCAAATTTACAAACCGAAAAAACAGATATCAACAATAAATTTTGACTTAACTTTAAATATATATGTATGCTATGGTATAGTTTTATCTGATATTATTGTTATAGTATTTTGTTAGTGGTTTTAATATGTAATGTACATATTTTAAAATTCTTACGATTGCTTTTTTTTCTTTTCTTTTCTTAATTTGTAATAAATGCACCTACCATTACTTTTCTGGACCACCCCAATATTGACCGGGAGATAATGCTGATGGCATTAAGTCCGCCTTTGTACATAAATGTTTGTGCATAAAGATTAAATAAATAAAAAAAATACATTTAAATGTCACACATTAAATAAATTATAATTACATTTACAACAATCGGCAGTCCAGTAATGAAAAAACACAGACAGAATTCAAATCGAGTTCGATTCAAACGAACCAGACCACTACGCCTAGCTTGCTTTGAACAAAACAACATACATAAAGCATTAAGTACGCGTCCAAAATTCGGAAACAACGGCAGTTGATAAATAAATAATTGCTCGGGGATTCCCCTGGCGCGATGGGACGCTCACGTCGCACAAAAATTCATCAACAACTAATAAACATTCATGACGCAACGATCGTATCGACCATTAAGACCATTGTTATTTAATTTCCCCCCGGTTGGATATAACAAACAATTGCAATTATGCATTAGATGATAATTTCTTGTATTTAAGCGATTAGACATTATTAAATTAAACTATATCTACGGATTTATCGCGTTTATTTTTAACGGGACGTCCAACGCTTCAGTCTGTCACAACGCTGAAAAGGGTTTGAAACGTCGGGAAACAATATTTAAAAATTAACATGTTAAATCCGTAAATACAGTTTAATTTAACAAGCTTTACATATTCTACTCACGACTAGACGGCGGAGAATAGTAATTATTTATGTGACAAAGTATGAGTTTTTATAACAAAATCTCAGAAAACGTACAAAATGTAACGGTTGCTAAATTCAAAAACTTGCAAAGGAACGTTTGTGTGTTAAACGGACTTTTCTAAACATGTTTTCACTGTCAAATTATGGTAAAACTAAAACGTCTTGCTGAGTATCTTTTGCCTGTTCTTCTCAGGTCAGCTTTTCTTTTCCGAACCGGTACTACTAGAATTTTGACAATCAAAAAGTAAGTGTATGATTCTAACTTCGTACACATGTTTTTAGAGGTATGAAAAAGGTCATACGTAGCATTCTTTTTATTAACTTAAGGGCTTCAACGCGAGAGTAGTTGCTGGTAAAAGCTAGTGGTTAATAAAGCAGCATTTTCGTTTATGTTTCAAACATTAAAGTAAAAAAGCCTAACCACAATTTTTTGCATCAGCAAACGACGTACGGATCTGATGTTATAAAATATAAAACACTACGTTCGATCCCATTAAAAAATTTAACAGGTTCTAAGCTAATTTAGGGGCGTGAACACGTATTCCAACAAAAAACTGGCCCTTCCGTTTTGTACTGAAAACATCGCATCGTAGTAAATAATAAATGGTGAATTAATAGTAAGTAGGCTTCGGCCCGGTTCTTCATTTAGGAGCTGGTAAAATTTAAATTACCACCACACATTATATAAGGTAGGTATCTACCTACTATTAATTCATCATTTATTATTTACTACGATGCGATGTTTTCAGTACAAAACGGAAGGGTCAATTTTTTGTACCGCTTATCTAAGCGGTAGTGAATCTGTTAATGTTACGTAAGTAGTTTTTTTAAGGAGCATGTATATCAGATTAGATTTTGGGGGTCGCATGCACTGTGTTTATTTATTAAACGTTGTACGAAAATATACTTTGCTTTTATAATTTACGCTAAAGACATGTAAAGATGTCCATTGAATCGGTTGATTCTCTGTGCATTGAAATTAACGTAAACTGTATTGAACGTTAATTCGTCGTTACTCTTCGTTTAATGGAAATTGTGTGCAAATTGTTTCAGTACTTTAACGAGTTGACTTTATTTTACTCATACATGTGCGAAGGATCATAAGGGCCTTTGTTTAAATGGATAAAAAGGGGTCGTATTACGTATCTATCTTTGTTTTATAGCGACGCCTTCTTTGCTACTTTATGGTTAAAGAAAAGTTTGACAGTTATTTCACCTGCAAGATAAAATAAAGTATGTATGTACTTACGTACGCACGTAAGAAATTATACTTATTATTTTTCTTTAGCGTAAAGACATGGAATTGATAACGGTTTTAAATAAATTGGAGTTATGGTAAAGGACAAAAAGATGATATTGATTACTTCGCAACCAAAATCATCATGTTGCTTTTTTAGAATGAGTGTGAGCGCGCATCGTTAAAATTTTACTCTGATAATTTTTTCAAACGCCCCAAAAGATGTTTAACTTCAAAACAGCCACTAAATATGAAATTAAATAAATGGTCCTTATATATAAGCGCCAATTATGTATGTATTACATAATATTACTCATAGTAATTAATTTATATGTTAGAAACTTTAGTACAGACTTTAATTAAAATATATTGCATATTATTATTTGAAATCCAATGTACCTAATAAAGGAATAGACGCCTAGAATTCTACGAATTATTGTGGTCAGCTGCGTGGACGTCATAGATACGTGCCACAAATGAGTTAATATTAGAGAAAACATAAATAGATACCCATTTCTAGTACCACAGAGAGCGACATTTGTTTAACATTGGGGCAATATTCAGAACAAAGTTATATATTTAAGAAAAGTTCTTGAAATAAATTCCACAAAAAAGACCGGATATAACTGCAAGCTCAGCACTTATTCGTTTTCAATTATAAGCCTGTTAGTCTTCACTAACTATTTTGCCAAAAGAAAATAAACAGAGGTTACAACTTTCCGCAATTAACGTTCAAGCACAAGGAATCAAATGTGCGGACAATTAGTAAATCCGGATAATTAGTAAAATCGAAAACAGTTGCAAGAGATGTTGCGCCGCCGCCTCAACCGATGAATGACGTGTAGCGAACGGGAGAGTTCCTTTTCCTCCTTAGCTTCGCTCAATTCGAGTCTCCGAATCAGGCCCTTGTCCACAAGACCACAAAACCAGCCGAAACAGTACACATTTAACGTAGGTGAGAATGACACGATCACAGTTCCAGATCGCTTCATCATCGCCTGCCACACGACCGACTTCGAATGCTTCAAGCGACAGTATCGCTCCCTGAGGGACACCGCGCTGCTGGGCAGCCTGCACTTCGCCATCGACTACTACAAGCCGTACCTGTTCAAGTACGGCGACAGTGGGACCTGCATCAAGCTTTCGGGCCTTGAAGAGAGCGAGCTGGTCGGGATCAGGTAGTCTGGTAGAGGAACGACTTCTAGGCACTTCCTTTCTCCTTATAGGCCGTGGTACGTCCGCGGTAAAGGCGAACAACACGCGGTTTACATTATATTAAGTAAACATCTGAGGGGAACAACTATGATTACTGTAAACCACAGTGATCTTTGATAATTAGAAAAAAAAAACCAAGTTACCGAGTAAATTATTATAAAATCTTGCTCAAAACTTATTATAAGACTTATTATATTATTATAAAATCTTACTTTCATCCACACTAACATTTACAAGGCAGTGGTTGGCGCTCGTGACATGTTATAAATCAAAAAACTCTTTTGGTTGAGATGATAAATTAATGATTTTTTATATCCCTCCTACAACTCTAGTTTTATGTACTCTTCTTTTCGCGTTCAATCCAGTCTCCTTTGGAATGACGTTCCGTATGACATCAGGAAGACCACTGAACGTAATGCTTTTAAGAATAAGATAAAAAAACTATATCTAAGTAAGTTGGCAGAATAAAATAATCAGTAGTTGTTGATATCGCATATTATTTATTTATGTATATTAATTAAGTATTTGTGAATATTATAGTACATGTATTCTATTTTGAATGCTAATTTAAATAATGTAATATATTTTTGTTATATTGGGTTTAATATGTTTATATACTTTATATATTCTCATGTATTTATTTTAAATTTAATTATATATGAACTTATATTTAATAACTTTTTGAATATAACTTTTATTTTAACTTAAAATTTGATTGGAAACTTTTTACACCTGCCTCTTTTGTCTCTGCGTCGCCCATAGGTTGACTAGTAGAGAATGCCTTAGGCATTAAGTCCGCCTATACACAATACTATTTTTTTTGTGTAAAAGTTTAAATAAATAAATAAAGTAACAGCCTATACATGTCCCACTGCTGAGCAAAGGCCTCCTCTATACAGAGGGTATCAGGGCATAGTCCAGCACGCGGCCACACTGCGGATTGGCGGACTTCACATATCTTCGAAAAATATATATTTTTTTTGTTATTATTTCGAAAATATGCAGGTTTCCTCACGATGTTTTCCTTCACCGCGGAGCACGTGATAAGTCAGCACTTAAAGTTAAAAACTTCATTGGTGCCGGCACCGGGGATCGAACTCAGGTTGCTCGAGTATATTGATTTAAAGGCGAGCGCCCGGACACTGAGCTATCACGGTACTTTCTATTTTTATCATTCTGAGTATATAATATTTTAATTAAAAGAAAACTAACGCATATAATAAATATATAAAATGCACATTCCCAGCATGGACAGTGGCAGCAAGGAGTTCCTTCTGACCCTGGAACTGCCCCTCCGTATCCAGGAGACGAGCAACAAGACCGACATCTGCATGAAGCCTGATATAGGTAAGAAAATGTTCGCATTTCGTAAATACTGACTCGGTTGCGCCGTTAATAAGCTATTGGCTACGGCGCCGGTAGTCGTGGGTTCGATTCCCACACGGGGCAAGTATTTTTGTGACCCAAATTTAATTGATCCGGATCCGGGTGTTTGTTCCAATGGAGGGTTGACGTCAGGCGCGTAAAAACATAGCCAAAACCGCTTACAACGTCATTCCCAAGCTGTTCCGACTCCACGTAGGTGGGATGAGGGCTGGAGGATGACTATGATTCGTGTAAAAGTAATATTCGACTAATGCACGAAGCTGGTCACATGTGTTAGGCTATGAAATGTCGATTTGGCCGTAATTGGCATAATCTCGTGCGGAGCAACATACCCAACGCTAAGGCTAACCTTGTTTGCGGTTCGCCTACTAGATGGCGTTAGTAGTTATGTTTAAGATCATCGTTAACGGGGTTACGATATTAGATTCCGGTCTGTTGGCTTCACTTAAAACAGTTTATTTAAACGTAATGTAGTAGTGTTTATTTTATTCTATGGTGATTTTTTTTATTTGAATAAATTATTCGACAGACAGCTAAAATAAATTGTTTTCCATACACGCTATAAAAATTAGGCATTGTAAATTAAAATATGAGTTTCAATTTTAACTTAAAATTGTAATTTCGTGAAAGTCTTGCGAACAGTTTTTCATTTTTTTTTTATTTTACGCCCACGTGGAGGGGATCTTACGTCACAAACTAGACTCAATCTCAAATTAATTGTTTAATCGCGTGTTTACGATATATCAGCATTGGTTGCCCAGTTAAAGGCGTTATATCACCCGAATGAAACGGGTCACACGCCAGTTACATTGTGCAACAATATTGTTAATGTGCGTTGACACGAACGTACGAGCGCGAACGGTTTATGAACGCAACTTTCATGGGAAGTTCCGTTTGTTGTTAGATGTATTTTTTTCTTATACAATACAAATCTTTTATTCCCCCCAAAAGACGCGGCACCTTTCGAAGATCCCCCTCCCCCAACCAAAAGGTCTGTTTTTGTGAAAGTTGCAGTTAATTTTTAAGTATTTAATATATCAATTTATTTTTATGTTAACGTCCTTGTTTCAGAATTTAAAAACATCCAACCACATACCGGTAAGCGATATCATTATACTTACTTACTAATATTATAAACGAGAAAGTTTGTATGTATGAATGGATGTTTGTTACTCTTTCACGCTGGAATGGATTCTAATGAAACTTTAGAATAATATAACTTATACGTCAGAATAACACATAAGCTATAATTTATCTATCTATCTTTCTGTCTGAATGTTAAGCCTTCAGCCTATTCTACGCAAACGTAGTCGCGGGCAGCAGCTAGTACTTACATATTTCCAATTAATACCGTACTAGCTTGCAATGTTAACCACAAATATGGCTAAAAATGTTTACGCCAAATAATCTAGTAAACAAATGACATTAGAAACCTGTTTAGCAAATCTTTTCAATAGTGAATAATTAAATTAAATAGTATTAAGTCAATGTTATAAATTAACGGACACAGTTTGTCGGTTAATTTGCGTCGAATGCAAAGCCAAGCGATCAGATATCTGTTAACTAAACCGGTAATATATCAGGTTGATTGCTCTCAAATTAAGTCTAATTAGATGGGTCCAATTAGTGGGGACTGAGCGAATGGTTCTAAATATACACATATAGTAATTTATATGTAATTATATAGTAATACATATAAATATTTTAATGTAATAATTTCTCGCCCCAGGTTGACTGGAAAAGAATGCCAAAAGGCAAAAGTTCGCCCTGTATAATCCTTTTTATTTAAAGGTTGCAATAAAGTATAAATAAATAAATAAATATAGTAATATTCTATATATGGCTTTAACTGTAAAATACCAACCTACACAGCTGGGCAAAGGCCTCCTCTGCACAGGGTATTAGGACATAGTCCACCGCATGACCCCATTGCGGATTGGTGGACTTCTCATATCATCGAAATATTTTTTTTGTTAATATTTCGCAAATTTTCAGGTTCCTCACGATGTTTTCCTTCACAGTTGAACACGTGTTAACTCAGCACTTAAAATTAAATTATTACATTGGTGCCGGCACCGTGGATCGAACTCGAGTTGCTAGAGTGTATTGACAATGAGCTATCACGGCTCCAGAGAAGAACGGGCAAAAAACTCTGCGGTCTCTATTTTTCCCCATTTTTTTTTTTATATAAGTAAAATTACATAACATACAGCAATAATTTGTAGATTAACAACTATAAAAACATTAACATTAAGTTATAAACAGTGTAATTAATACTCGGCAATATGTCGTACCTTAAAAGTTCACACCTTGCCGGTCGAGGAGAAACTGGGCAACTGGCATTGTATTGTACTTTGCTTCTCTCCCTTCTACTCGCCACATCAAATGATTCACAAATGTCAGATGAACCGAAACATCAAATCATTTTTTGAAATTCTTATCAATCAAATTAAAAATAATTCATAAACATGAAGTCTATTACAAAATGATATTTAAAAAATACAATTGAGTATATATATATACATTAATCTATCACGTGCATAAAACGTCTGAAACTTCACCTTAAACCCCTAACACAAAAAGCCTAACGTATTTAATTAGTCCTCATTATGTTCAATTGATAATAATAATTATATACTTAATCTATTTAACAATACCACAAAACGGGAAACCTGGTTGTATATTGTTTTCCCTCGACCATCGATATAAAATTCGCGAGGACCGCCTTCTTAGGCTTCGTATACCTTTCGAATATATCAAATGTTCAGCGGACGGAAAACCGAAGGTAAGAGGTCCCCATCCCCTCAGTGATCCGTCAAAATGCAAAGTTATAAACGGCCACGCAACCCGACCGTTAAGGTTATCCTGTCACGAATAAAATGCCAATCATACTTCACGCCCCGCTCCTATGTATTGATGGATTTCCATTTATCTGCAGGTCCCTACCGGAGCTTCGACGGGAACGGTAAGTGGGCGGAATAAATAAAAATCCATTTATAACAATACAGGTGTAGTAATAATACTATCTAATTAAATAAGGAGTACATTATCACCATCAAACGAGCTGGCGGTCCACCTGATGTTAAGTGATAACCGTCGCCCATGGATATTAGCGACGCCTTTAGGGTTGCAGATACGTTGCCACTATTTGACTCGGTGGCCTAATTGCCAAGGTCTTGGCTACGGCGTCGGGGGTCGTAGGATCGATTCCCACACGCGACAACTATTTTTGTGCGACCCACAGATAGTTTTTTCGAATCTGAATGTTTGTCCATGTGGAACTTATGTTTGTAAAACGTCATCCGTGCTTCGTGCTCTATGGTGACGTCCGTAATTCTCATTCGAACAAAGCTATACGACCGATTCAAGAATAAGAAAGAGCTTGTGACAGTTACAAAGTATTCAGTAACAACTGTGACAAGGTGTAACAGTATTTATCTCTTTCTAAGTTAACAGTCGTAAGTGTGAATGAATAAAAGCTTGTGACAGCTTGTTAAGGAACAATTTGTGTGAAACAGGAACTGCTATTTAATTTTACAGTACTGTCTGTTATCTCAAGATACCTGTTATGATAAATACGCCTCATTCCTAATCCTAACTACCACCACAAACCAAACCATTAACCGGTTCCAAGATTACGAGGCTTTAACTATAGCCGACTAAGCTAAACGGATATTCACGAACCCGGATATAATCATTAATCATCAGCCAAGTGTTCGCACACTTGACGCCTGTCGAGTGCCAATTGATCCGGTTACGGCGGTTTCCGGTGAATGCCTCTCGAAACCGGAAGTGCTTGCCAGGCTCATCTTTTGTCCTTATCCCGTGATAACGCGTCGAAGACGCGAATGACCCACCCTTACCCCATAACAAGATGTCTATTGTTCTTAACATCTGTACAAAAAACATTCCTAAATTATCTATTGTAGTTGTCGGAGTTCGAAACAGTTTATCAAAGATATCGTTATTATAAGAGAGTTATGGAATGGTCTTGACAGACGTTAAGATGTTCTTGTCATAATTTTTTTTTATCAACAAATACAAAAAGAGAAAACAATTTAATCACATTTATAAAGTTGGAAGAGGTAATGTACGATATTTTGAACTCTGACTCCTGTGCTAGGTTACTCTGTGTTACAGAAGTCAGTACCGTTCACATTTCCATTATTGAATTGCTTGTCTAAATCAAAATGGCATCAGCCAACAAAGTTAACCAGTGATATTAACTGTGGTAGGTCCACGCAAGTCTTCGAAGTTGCCCGAATGTGCAGGTATGTATGGTCTCAAAGAAAACCGGCGTGACGTGGAAGTGTTTATAATGGTGGCATCAACAGCCGGACGTTGCAAATGCCCAGGGCGGCGGTTGTCACTTAGCATCAGGTGACCCACAGCTCCCTTGCCACTTTCTCACATAAAAGGGAGGTATTTATTCATATAAACTCTTCCACAGCAACGATTAAAGCGACCTTCCCATACGAGCTCCGAAAAAGGAAGGGCGACGCGTATTTGTTGCTGAAAGAGGAAGACTTGGACGTGATCCTCGACATACCGGATACGCGACCTCTGGTCAGGAACACCGAAAACGGAGGTATGCAAAATTAAGTTGTCAATTTAAACGTTGAATAAGTATTGTTTAGAACAGATGAAAATCCGAGAGTCGATATTGCTAATGGATGTTTCCTTCCCTTTCGTAATTGATAGATTTCTCTAACTTGATATTTAGTCACTTTATTGAGTTACATGCAAAAAACGAGACATATTTTTTTGATATTTCGATTGTTTAAAACTTATGTGTCGCTATCAAAGTTTAGTGATGTTTCTAAATGACATTGAGGTGCTATCACAACTGTTTTTACAAGCAGTGGTAGAGTTAACACGTATTTTAACGTGTATCGTGTATTGTGACAATTTAGAGTATATTTTCGATTTACGTTAATGTGGTATTTTAAATATTTGTGCTTATAAATGTTACTGTATTTTCCATACAGTATTTCGATTACAGGGGAAGCCAGCATATAGTGTCATAGCTACTTGTGACTTCACCCGCATGCATTCTTTCCCAAGTATAATATGTAATGAAGAAATAAAAAGTGTCCTATGCATTAAAACGATATCGAATACCACTGCAGGAGACAAGTTTCAACACCAAAGTGCAAACTTAAAACTAACTACTTATTTCTAACTAAAACTAAAATAATTACCATTTCTTACATATTTTTTCACGTGAGAAGGTGGCAGCCGAGCTGGGTATGCAACTGATGTTAAGTGATAACCGCCTATGGACAATTGCAACATCCGTAGGATTGCAGATGCGTTGCCATCTTCTAATAAACTGAGCTCCGTATCTCGCCCACCATTCCGTGAGGCCATAGTTTTCCCCGGATGAACTGAAGCATTCAAGCAACAGTGAAGACCGCTGCGTGGTACTACCACAGAGTGCAAACTTAAACCTCATATCTGTCTTAAATACGTGTATCTATTAACAGGAAACAACTACGAGATATCGGAGTGGGCGTACGAAGTAGTGGAGCATATAGACGCGGCTCGACACTTCGCCCTGCCCTACACAACGAACATACGTCTCTTCACCTCCACAGTGCCCCTGCACAAGTAAGTATACCATTAATCAGACACGTAACACACCAATGTTGCCCTGAAAACAGCATAAACTACTGCGAATACTGCAAATACCGTACAGGTGATTATTATGTGATAAGTTGTCAAACGAGCAGACGGTTCACCTGATGTTAAGTGGATACCGCCGCCCGCAGACATCTGCTACACCCGAGAGTTCCAGATGCGTTGACAACCTTTTGAAAATTGGGCTCCGGCTACCTCACTCACCAGACGAAACACGAAAGTATTATACTTCCACTTTACGCCGGTCTTCTGTGAGGTCGTGGTACTTACGGACGGACCTGCCCATTCGTGCAACATCCGAGGCTGCTGCGTGGCCCTAGCACGGTTAAAAGTTTCTCCCGGTGGTCGAAATACAACCATAATTAATTATACATGGTACGAGTATCGTGTACAATGTTTTTTTTATTGATGTAATGTATTTTTTTGCATAATTAAAAAAAATATTAACATTATGCACTCCTTCTCTGTATAAACTAAACGAACAAACGGCGCAAATCCGGAAGACGTAGGTTCGATCGCGCAACGACGCCAAAAACTTCTCGTACCTTTTTCTACAAATTTTATTGTTTCACCTTAATTGCAGAGTATTAGCACTACAAGAAAATAAACAATAAAGCCATCAAACGCTCTCAGTTAAAAGAAAGAGAAAAACAATATATTTTAGACCGTTATTAACTGCATATAACTTCGCTTTCATATTGCCCATGCTTACACAAACATAGCTTTCGTTGTATTCACTCGTTGAGGAAGAAGCTAAGTTAAAAACCAAAGTCATGTTCTATTTAGTCTAAAGATCTTATAGAGAGAATCCTGATCTAGCACTTGTTAAAGCCCTAAGATTTTATTTTGATTAGTAAAAGTACAATGTCTTGCAGGAGACATGTGTGATATGTACACTTTCTTCTTCAATCCGATTTACCAATGCAATTAACATTGATATAAAGCAGCACCAAACTGTAATGTTAAGCGTTACGGGTCGCTTGATTGTATATAGTAGCAACTATTTAGGTCACACTCTTCCATCAGCAAATATACGTGGTTTAAAAACTTAGAGACGTGAATAGAAATTTAAATGTAATTTAAAAGGACGCCATCTTTTTCGTCTGCAAATTATGTTATGTATAATTTATTACATTATTACAAAAGGTATCATGACAAATAATCAGATTTAAAAGTCTGCAAACGAACGTGTAGGTAGTTACAATAGACTCTCTTCGTTCGTTTTTGAGTTACCGGTCCTAAAAACTGTTGAACGCCACCAGTTACCTTGGTAAATATATGGGCAAAACTTTAACTCGACTTACGCAATGAGCCACAACTGTCCGCGGGGGTATGGTGTCGTGTCTCGAAATTAGAATGCGTTTAGCATTCCTTTAAAGGCGTTGCAAGCCTCGGGCCGTGGGTAAATAGGGCGGCAGGTGTTCAAATGCCAGCCTAGAGCGCTATAGAATGTTATAACGCTAGGTTAAACGTCTGGTTTAAAAACGATTCTGTCTCACTGAGATCCAGAGCGGATTTAAATTTCAAGTTTGGGGGTCGATTGGATTTCATTATGAGAATTTAGGACGACATATGAAAAGTAATGACGAAAATAAATGAATTGTATGCATCTTACAAGAAAAATACGTGTTTTATATTAGCAAACTTTAATAAATATATAATTCTATCTATTCAAAAATAAATTTATGCCTGTCTATCAATACAAAAATAAATCTTCAAATCATAATGAGTTGCCATTTGTCATCTTTGTTAAATTATTTGTACCAAATTTCTAAGTTTCTAACAAATAAACAATTCGCGTCACGAATTCTCTCTTAAGCCGATACTACCAGGCTCTCTGATCAAGTTAGCTAGAATCGCATCGGAAACTTTGGCAGGCACGTGTCTGTTAATTAGCGTCTAATTAATTGATGCGTCCGTGGTAATCTATTAACTTCCGATTTGTCTGGATTGGATGCAAGAGGGTTTGGGAGTGATCTTTACGGAGTTCTTAATAATAACGTTACTAGTTGTAATTGACCCGTGCGAAATCGTCGCACAGTATTGTGATCAGTCAACGAGTGGTAACAATAATGTGTAATTAGCATTTATAAACTAATGATATCTAATTTTGAAGAACCGCTGTCTTCCAGTTAAGCAATTTCTCAATAGATAGCATTATATACATCGTTTATAAGATTTTTTTTAAATGAAAACACTAACTTTATTCTACATGAATATTTTTCTTCATTAGCAAACATAAACATCGAAATAGTTTTAGAATCATTAAATATTTTGATGAATTATTGCTATAGATTATAGCGACATAAAAACACCTTTAAGAAATAATATATATTCCTATGTCTATTGATCACGAAGCCAGTATTGCCTTGCAGTAGTAATGACGCCAGCCCTTTTAGAGACTACCAAATTTTGTTTTTCAAGACTGAAGTGCATAATTATCATAGCATTATACAACGACACCATCCAGATCCGATACTCATTAAAATGCTTAGTGAGATTACATGCGAAAATACGACATTTACCGGATCCTTCCAAGTAATGTAATTAATAATTCATGATTTAATGGATGCTTAAAAGTAATAGAATGTATTTTAAGAACCTTAAGCTTCTAGAAGAGGTGATCCGCTTGCTCGTTTGCGTCCTTTTTCCATAAAAAAAAACCATCGAGGCCTTTTCCCTACGTCTTCGCGGCGGTAATAATCCACCTTCCGTGATATTAGATTATTCTCATTATTGGACAGAATACTTTGTAATAGACTTTTTCACATGAGAAGGTAGCAAGTGAGCCGATGGTTCACCTGATGATACGTGATGACCACCGCCCATGGATATTTGCAGCACCCGTAGGGTTGCCGATGCGTTGCCACCGCTTAATAAAGTGAGCCCAGGCTACCTCACTCACTTAACGAAACTAAGACTGTTGCGTGGCCCTGCCACAGTTATAACAAACAAATCACGATCTAACGGATGCTTAAAAGTACCAGAATCTATTTTAAGGACGTTCGGAATCTTCCGCGATAAAGTATTACTATCATTATTGGACATAACACAGTTCAGCCCAGGTAGTCCGTTTCCAGCAAAGTGCAGTTTAAATACGGGTGGAACAAACACATTACTGTTTCATGATCCGCAAACAATGGACCCCTCTGTCGGCGAATATATATCAAATGCACCCTTTGCCCTTTGCACACTCAAAAAACACCCGGCGGAGTTATCGCATCGCGCATTATGACGTTGTCCGCGGGACTTTAAGTACATTTTCGCTTTTTTTTTTAATTTTACATGAATACGCGTACGTTTTCGCAAATCCCACGTGAACTCGGAACGCCGTTACGGACCCCGTACCACCAAACATTTCTCATTTACACTCCGAATAGGTTAACCACGTTTCAGTCGATGCTGCTTTTCTCGCATTGAAAATATTAATGGAAGAAGTGCCAACAAGTATATCTTTAATGTAAAAAAGCCGAGCAGTGTACCTTAAACTTTTCACGGTAGTACCACGCAGCAGCCTCGGCTTTTGCACGAATGGGCAGGCGCGTCCGGGTAAGTACCACGACGTGGAAGTATAACTGTCGCGTCTCGTCCGGTGAGTGAAGTGGCCGGAGCCCAATTCTCAAAAGGCTGTCAACGCATCTGGAACCCTCGGGTGTGGTAGATGTCCATGGGCGGCGGTAATTACTTAACATCAGGTGAACCGTCTGCTCGCTTGGCAACTTTTCACATAAAAAAATACGGTGTACAGTAAAAGGAGAGTTAAATTATACATTTTGTTGCGGACTGCGAATCTTAATTTGGTTAATGGAGCGAGGTTCTGTCAGGAGCCAAGAGAATGTGTTCAGAAAATATAGAATAACTTAATAACAGTATTCTGGAGCATCGCCTCCGTCAAATAGAAAGCCATCATGTAATAAATTGAAAATAAAATAGATAAAGTATATTTGGTCTATACATTGATTAATTTCTATAATAAACCAACTTCCAAATATGATGATGATTATGATGACCCAATCGGCGTAGTGTATAGTAGCCCTGTCTCTTGCGCCAGAAGGTGTGTGTTCGATCCCCATTACTGGAAAAATATTCTGTTATGAACATAGTGTTTTTTAGGTTCTGTGTGTTTATATATCTATAAGATGTATTCGTTTACAAAAAAACTTATGTTTATGCATGTTTATCAGTTATCAAGTACACAATTCAAGCTTCACATAGTTTGGTACTAGATGACGGTGGGTAAAAACATGTCCTGACATGTTTATTAATACATTTATCAAACGAATTACATAACATATTAAATATTCAAGTAATTAATTAATAAATATTCAAATATTTTTACTTTAATATTATACGTGGCACTTGTAATAACATACAATTTCAAGTTCCTGCGAATGCCTCGTGAAATGGCGGTGTAGAAACTATACTAGCATAATACATGCTCGTATATTATAACAATACATCTAACAGGATGTTAAATAAATATCTAGGTAGGGTCTGATCCGATTGGCGTAGTGGGTAGTGAATCCGCCTCTTGCGCCGATGGGTGTGGGTTCGATGCCCACTACTGGAAAAATATTGTGTGACGAACATTATTAACAAATATTGTGTTTTTCCAGTGTATTCATTTACAAAAGAAAATTATGTTTAAGTATGTTTATCAGTTTTTTATTACCCATAGTACAAGCGTTGCTTAGTTTGGGACTAGAAAACGTTGTGTAAAAAAATATCAAGTAAGACTGTCGACTGCAAGAACAAACTCTTCCAATGTTTTTGTAAACTCTGGAAACGCGTTTAACTTGATTTAGTTATCTCGATCAGATCTCGATAGTAGATCCCATAAACGGTAAAAAAAACCGGCCAAGTGCGAGTCGGACTCGCGCACGAAGGCTTTCGGACCATTATCTACAAAAACGACGAAAAAATCATGTCTTTTGAGCCCCATTTAAATATTTTTATACTAAAAAAAAATTGGATACTTGTTGTTATAGCGACAAAAGAAATACATCGTCTGTGAAAATTTCAACTGTCTTACTATCACGGTTCATGAGATACAGCCTGGTGACAGACGGACGGAGAGACAGACAGCGGTGTCTTAGTAATAGGGTCTCGTTTTACCCTTTTGGTACAGAAACCTAAGAACACTTCTATTTAAACCAACGCAGTGTAATTCATATCCCGGCAGGAAGCCTGTCGTATCGTTAAAGCTTACAAATGTTCATCTTCCTACATAAAAAAAGAAAGAAAACTACATGAGATTACTATAAATTCAGATTTTCAACTCCAATTGTACACACATTACATATACAACCGACAAATGTTTTTACAGGTGTACACAATTGTTAAACACAACGAAATTAGACCATAGACATGAAAATTCGACGGAAACTTAATCAATTTTGATTTTTATAATATTTCATTCTACTATACATTTTCTCTTTAGATACATCATCATCCTCCTCCTGCCATTATGCCACATAGGTGGGTGACAACATGTGAATCATGTTGTCAGCGGTTTTCGCTATGATTTTTACGAATTTGAATAATTTTTACGCCGCCTGCCTGACGTCAACCCTCCCTGGGAACAAACACTTAATACCCAGATACGTACAATTATCTGTGGTTCACGCAAATACTTGTCCTATGTGGGAATCGAACCCATGACCCCTAATGCCGGAAACTAATAGCTTAGCAAGGGCGCCGCCACGTCATCTCAGTCTTTTTCACTGCATAGTAGTTAAGAAGCCTGAGATGGCTTGACTACATAGCATTGGCTTCGGCGTCGGGGGTCGTGGGTTCGATTCCCACACGGGACAGCTATTTGTGTGACCCACAGATAGTTGTTTCGCATCTGGGTGTTTGTCCGCGTGGAATTTATGTATTAAGAATATTTGTAAAACGTCCTTACAACACAGGATTATGTTATCCTAAAGTAAGGGCTACGTTTTAAAAAAAAAGTGTACAACATAATCATCCCGCGTTTTTTTTTACTAGATAGATTGATTCAAGAGAAAGGTTTATATTAGTACATTGCAACCGTACGAAGCCGGGGCGGGTCGCTAGTTATGAATATAATGATTCACATTCTCTTTTATATATACTTGCAATGCAAAATAGTTCAATGCCATTAAAAAAGAACTTAAAAAATAGCCTGTCCAACGTTTTTATTGATAACGCTTGCGCTAAACATAAGCTGCTAAACTAAAGAAAAATCAATTGACACACTGAGTAGACAACGGTACTGAAATATTTTGCTTTTAACGATTTAATTATATATCACATACTAATGCATGTACAGGGTCGTAATCAAACCACAAATATCACACAAATATTTACTTTTCGTTTGCACGCAACTAAAATGTTTTTTTTTTGTTATGTGAAAAGTTACCAAGCGAGCAGGCGTTTCACCTGATGTTAAGTGAATACCGCCGCCCATGGACTTTTACTTCACCCGAGGGTTCCAGATGTGTTGATAAACTTTTGAAATTTGGACTCCGGCCACCTCACTCACCAGACGAAACGCGAAAGTATTATACTTTCACTTCACGCCGGTCTTCTGTGAGGTCGTGGAACTTAACCGGACGAACCTGCCCATTCGTGCAACAGACGAGGCTGCTGCGTAGCCCTACCACAGTTAAACTCTAAGTTCGTTCTGCGTTCTTTTTCAGATACCTTCTGCTCTATCCGGAAGAAGAGTACACCGAACTGAAATTCTCCTTCTACGATTCCGATTAAAGAAAATAAACCTAACGTTTTGTAGTTTCAATCAAGCCTAAGACATCTATTAAGTGTGTGTAATAGAAGGGATTAGCAAAACCGATATTTGTGTGTAATTACGAAAGTTCGTATTGAATGGGCCACGTAAATGTCTTTTAGTATCTCGGTTTCATTAACAGACGTAAAGCCTGTTCATTATAGTTTCATGTGCGTGGGTATAACACGTAATAACAAGTAATCCAACAATTAAGGAGGTCACCCTGAATGGACAGAATTCTGCCAACGATTACTTGTTTCCTACTCCTAAGATCGATTTGAGACCAACAATGTTTCTAATTAATAAATAAATAAATATTTAGGACACATTTTCACACAACATTCTCTAGTCCCAAACTAAGCAAAGCTTGTACTACGGTTACTAGATAACTGATAAACATACTTAAACGTACTTTTCTTTTGTAAGTAAATACATATTATAGATATATAAACACCAAGACACTAGAAAAACACTATGTTCATCACACAATATTTTTCCAGTAGTGGGGATCGGGCGGACCCACACCCTCTGGCGCAGAAGGCAGGTACACTACCCACTACGCCATTCGGGTCGTCAAAAATTAAAAATATTAATCTATTTATTCTTTAAAATTTGTAGAATTTTTTTTTGTATTTATTCTTTATTAACAAAAAATATGTACAGTACTCTTAATCACAAACTGATGTCTTTCATCTGATGCCGACTAAGGTCTACCTTCTTATCGTTTCTAGAGGCTGATGCTACGAACTTCTAATTACATTTCGTTTCTTTGAAACATAACAATAATGGGTAGTTCATCGAATAAATTTTATCGAGACACAAAAATTTTGAATATCACATATCTGAAAAAAGGTTGCAAGAAACTAGATTTTTTTTATGTGATGAAGTGGCAAACGAGCTGGCGGTTCACCTGATGTTAAGTGATAACCGCCGCCACACCCGTAGGGTTGCAGATGCATTGCCATCTTTTAATGAAGTGTGACCCCGGCTAGCTCACTCACCAGACGAAACGCAGAAGTGTAATACTTCTACCTCGCGCTGGTCTCCCGTGAGGTCGTGGTACGAACACTGTTGCGTGGTCCTACCACAGTTAGAATACGTTCCATTTTCCTTCTATTCCCTTCAAAGGATCCAAGAGGAGTGCCCGGAGGAGTGCCAACGAATCGGAAGATCGCTGGAAGTGGTAGTATTTCTACTCACTAGGCTTGATGAGTGAAGCGAGGGGGGCCCACAATATAGATAACTTCAATCCCACGGGAATAACGGGTTCCCAATGGCAGTGGTACTCTACATGGGTTATAGCGTCTGCTAGCTTGCAGCATCATGTCATAAAAAAAAAGTTATTTACAGAACGATGTCGCAACATCTATTTCCTTATGAAATATTAATAACGTTATACATTTATTGATATAAAAGCTTAAAGGGAAAATCATATCTGTAATAAAGCGACGAGATGTTATAGAGTGAACAAGTGTTTACTATTTTATAAAGTTCAAGATGAAAATTAACCGATCTCGGATATAATGAATTGAATGCTTAATGTTTCATTAAGATAAGTAATTCGCTTAAAACAGACGTGTCTGTACTAACATACTTAAACTTAATTTATGAATTCTACTATGGTAAGGCCACACATCAGCTCCTGTTGTTAGAATGTTCAGACTCGTCCGGGAAACCATGGTATCGAGAAGTGGTATTATAATTTGACGTTATTTCTGATTAGTGAGGTAGCCGGGGCCCACTTTTTTAAGGTGGCTCGCGTGAAACATAGACTCTCGCACGTACGGAATTCGAGAAAACGAAACTTATCGTGAATTCGAGCCCATAGTATGAAAAGACCGATATGATCAGTGGTTTAGTCCGTCCCATCTATACAAATAAATAAAATTGGAGTGTCTGTTTGTAATATTAAAATAGCCGCTTTTTACAAAATACATATCGATAACATTTTTTAGAATTTTTGTCGGTCTGTCTGTCTGTTTGTTCCGGCTAATCTCTGAAACGGCTGGACCGGTTTTGACGGGACTTTCACTGGCAGATAGCTGATGTAATGAGGAGTAATTTAGGCTACTTTTATTTTAAATTTCACGCGGACGCAGTCGCGGGGCACAGCTAATATAAAATAAAATTATAAAAAAGGGGGCGATATTAATTAATACCGAACTTGTACGGAACCCAACAAATTCGACTTCGCAAACTGTTAAATGTAATTATTATTGACAGCCGGAAGTTCATAATCCAGCGAGCGTGACATTTCGATATGGCGGAAACCTTACATAGTAAAAATAATTAAAATGTAAATATTTAATGAAAATCCCAGAGGGAAGTACATTTACGCGAGTGGATTTTCCATCTTTCCCACCTTGTATTAATCTACCGGTTTATACGTAAGCACTGATTGTATTTTTTTACGAAATATCGACTAACGCCCGGTTTCTGAAATACTGATCATCGTTAATGTCAACTAATCAGCTGTCAAATGGCTTTTCAAATTTAATTTTAGTTGCCAAAAGGATTGTTAAACTCTCTGAATTGATTAGAATGATCTTCTTAATGATCAGAATGACCAGTCCAAAGAGTTTAAGCGTCCTTTTGGCAACTCAAATTACTTTTGAAAAGCCATTTGACAGCTGATTAGTTGACATCTACGATGATCAGTCTTTCAGAAACCGGGCGTAATTCTTCTTAAGTTAAATGTAATCACACATACTGTGAACACGTCGAGGTTTGAAGTACCCACTGATATGGACTTTCCACCACCCCGCTAATTTAATGAACTTTAAAAGAATAACCTCTAAAATGTAGATCATTTTTTTTTATGTGAGGAAGTGCCAAACGAGCTGGGGGTTCACCTGATGTTACGTGATAACCGCCTGCCCATTGACATCCAACCCCCGTAGGGTTACAGATGCGTTGCGACCTCTTAATAATGTGGGCCCCGGCTACCTCACTCGCCAGACGAAACGCAGAATTGTAACACTTCTACTTTACGCCGGTCTTCTGTGAGGTCGTGGTACTTACCCGGACGGACCTGCCCATTTGTGCAACAGCGAACAGTTTACGTTTAATAAAGGTTACGTTTTTCCATTAAAATAGCTTGTAAGACATTACATCTTACTTGATTTATTACCAGATGTTTTGTGTCTTAAAGCAAAGGATTTTAGCTTATATATAACTTAGCTCAGTATTATTTATTATTTATGACCGTACGCAGTATTTCATTATAAGTATTAGCATTACACATGATCTTTTCTATCGAAATCCTGTAGTGTTCGAGTCATAGGTTGATTAGTATAAAATCAGCTTAATGATATTTTTAAATATAACTACTTACAGTTATTATTTATTTATTTTTTTACGAAAAAAAAAACGATTCTACAACGGCGAATTTACGCCATTATACTTCCAAGCCTGTTTCAGAGACTCAAAGGAGCAATGCAAATATACTCGTATAATAGTCCCCCAATTTTTGTTGTCTCTCTCTTTTTCGCTCAAAAACAAATAACGGAAAAGCGGGATGCCTAAATCTGATAATCTCGTGTATGATGTGATAGCTTATAAAATGTATCGAGCCTTTTCTCGCGCGAACATCATGTTTAAAACAAGCAGTAAACGGCATATTAATAGAATAGACAGAAACCTACATCTTGCCGATTTTACCTAAAGACGTGGCGTTTTATAAAACTTAATTACAAGACGTAAACTGTGCTACGTCTACTGCAAGAGAACAGTAACATTACCTAATTAACCGGGTTTCCGAGGCCGTTGGCTTCAATAATAATTAATTATCGCCCTCCGACCCGCGTCGATAATTTTCCCGAGGACCGCAGAACAAAAACTTGAGGCAGTTGCTTACGTTCCTAAAGGGTACGACATAGGATCGAAACGGAGCGGGCGGCGGAAGCGATTAGCGGAAAAGGATATAATTTTATTTTGGTTTACAAATTATTACAAACATTAATTTGTGAACCAATCCTTTAAAATGTTAGTAAACAATAAAAAAATTTATTAAACATATAATCGTTACTTTCTATCATAGTCTATATATAGTCAAATTGCTCAGTTTGTGAGTGTGTATAGTCTATATAAATCAAATGATGGGGAATTGAAAAATCACTAGATGGATCTCAATTAAACCTTTTTAAGTTTCATTTATTAAATTCTTGGCCCTTATCTAAAAAAATATTTTCATATTATTTTAGACTTATTTAAGTATGTTACTATGATTTTTATATGTACTACGCGTTCAGTAGTACAAAAGTGTGTTCTCTCGCAGTTGATTATTAGTATAGTAGATATGATAAGCAACGAAGGCTAAAGCGAATAGAAAATAAATCCAAAGCAACCCTGATTCCAACCATTCCTTGAATTCAGGCGTACAAATAAAAAAATATTTTCACTTACATTAAATGCCGTTATGAAATACGTTTCAACTAAAACCGATTCGCGGGCGTTAATTGAAAAAGTTTCCGGCGTCCGTGTACAATGCACTGAACACTAACTTTGATCGGATTTAATAGCAGACGAATAGTTTTAACAGTAAGCGCTCAGGGCTCGGATTTGCTGACGCTTATTATAATAGTCTTAAAGTACGGAATTTCAGGAAAAACATGTAGGCCAATTGTCAACGAGGTTAAAAGCTGGACGGTTTTGCAGTTTAACCAATTATACAAATTATACCGACGTCATAATACTTAAAATAATTGTAAAATTTTCATGGGTTTATTCATTTTTAAAGCAAATGATGTATAGACTCATAATCTGTAGTACGTGGAGGACCGAGCTTTGCTCGGTTTTTTTTTTGGTAAATTATGTATTTTGGAAATAAAAAAGATAAAAATTAAGAAAATGATCTGGTATAGAAAAAAAAGTAAAAAAAATAAGTGTGTAAATGATCGTGATACGAACCACGGCCGTCTGTTTCGGGGCCACCCGATTACCGACCGAGTTATTATAATATTTTACTTTGCGGCGAAAT